CCTACTCCTGCCCAGCCGCGTCCTCACTCTACAGTTCCTACGGCGTCGGCAGCACAGATGCGAACTGGACGCGACATCTCACCGCCACAGCACCTCTATTCGCCTCTCTCGACGCCATAAGCGGCGTGCCCACTGATTCATCAGAATGGCACACCTGGTTCGACCACTACTACGACAATCTCTCCGCCCGCCAATGTCACGCCAAACCTCTACCTTGCAACATCACCAATCCCACTCTCTGCGTCTCCCAGAACCAGGCCGATACCGTGTATCGCCTGGGACAATACGAGTACTCGTTTATTTACCGCGACTCTCCGCTTTCCTTACAAGCAGCTGCTGCTTCCTACGGCGTCTACATGGCAGAGTTGGTACAAAACATGCGCTCCGTACTAGCGGGTCAGAGTCCAGTTCTGTACAGACACAACGTTGCGCACGATGGGTCATTGGCCCGGCTACTCAGTTTCCTGCAGGTGGAACAGATGGTCTGGGTGGGCATGGGTTCGGAAGTCGTGTTTGAGGTTTATCGGCGGAAAGGGTATGAGACTACTGGTGGTACTAGTGAACATGAAAAGGCGTATTTGCGTATTCTCTGGGGAGGACAGGTGATGAGGAGCTCGAATCCTAGTCTGGGTAATAAGAATGGGGAGGTTGATATGATTGACCTGGAAGTGTTTTTGGGGTATGTGGATGGTTTGGTGGGGAGGCGGGCAAGTATGGTTGTTGGGAATTGTGCGGAGTAGACATTGATGGATGATTTTTCTTGCATGTATACGAGATTACTCGGGTCTTGGATAAGAAAGGAAGCTGTGATAACCGGGTTTGTTGTTGAGTCTCTCATTGATACGAATTAGGCCCCATGTTCGCACGTCTAGAAACTCCAATCAGAGAACTGGACGTGACGAGTTTTCTTCTCTAGGCTAAGCTAAGCTTACTAAACGTGAAGGAAGCCGTGTAGGATTCTTAAGCGAAGGATTTGTTAAGATGCAACATGCATGTAAGCATGCCGTCAGCTCGGAACCCGCCAATAGAACGTGACGCATTTGACTAGCGAACGGGGGCGAGGATCTCGCTACTTCTCGAACTTCTGATAAGGTACTTCAAGCGGTTTGTTGAATGCAGCGATTTGGAATATACGCACTAGGGGTGACTTTGTTTATTCAGCAAAGCAGCATGTTGGGCTTCTGCGTGATGTATATATTGGGTCAACAGTTCGGTTTGAAGCAAATATCCGTACTTATTTGCTTCAACCGAACAAGACTGTAGCTGTCTAGACAAGAAGCACGATACATAAATTAAGGATCTGTAGATTCGTTCATCATGCCACTTTCGACGAATGCCGAGGTGCTGGAGACGAGCAATGGTCTTGTGAGCACTCTTCGCGGCATGGCCGGTGGCGCGCCGCACAGTTTTAGACCAGGTACGTAATTGTTCCTTATTCTTTACCTTCTCCTTGCTTAACCCTTTCCGAGCCGCTGTTCCAAACGTAACCTGTAGCTAACACATCCTCTACCAGCCCACGCAAAAGGACATCTCCTTACCGGAACGTTTACTCCCAGTGCCACGGTATCGGACCTCACTACAGCCCCGCACTTCAACACGGCCTCCACACCAATAACCGTTCGCTTCTCTTCCTCCACCGGTTTCCCCAAGATCGCAGACACGGACCCCAATGCCAATCCCCGCGGCATTGCCATTCGCTTTCACCTACCGCCCAAGGAAGACGGGCGAAGGCAACACACTGACATAGTTGCGCACTCAACGCCATACTTCCCCACACGTACCGGCGCCGAGTTTCTAGAGTTCCTCAAAGCGGCAACGGGGCAGAATGCCGGAGAAGCAGTGCCTGAGTTCCTTGGCCGCCATCCCGAGACAGCGAGATTCCTACAGGCTGCGAAGCCTAGTCCAGAGAGCTTTGCGACGGAGAAGTTCTTCGGTGTGAATGCGTTCAAGCTTGTCAAAGAGGACAAGGTTACTGTAGTGAGGTACAGGATTGTGCCCATCGCCGGAGAAAAACATCTCGACTCCGAGGCACTAAAGGAAAAGTCTGAATCCTACCTGTTCGACGAGTTGAAGCCGCGTTTGCAGTCTGGACCGATTGGATTCAAGCTGTTGGCTCAAGTCGCCGAGGAAGGGGATGTGACGGACAATGCGACGGAAATATGGCCTGAGGCGAGGAGTGTTGTAGAGCTAGGCGAGATACAGATTGAGAAGACGATGGACGACGCGGAGAGCGCGAAGCAGCAGAAGAGCATCATCTTCGATCCTATTCCGCGGATTGATGGGTTACAGCCGAGTGACGATCCGTTGTTGGAGGTGCGCGCTAGTATTTATCTCATTTCGGGAAAGCAAAGGAGATCTGCGGAGGAGCCGGCTAAGGCGGAGGATGCAGTTGCTACTGGTGCTGCGGTGGCTGCTACGTGAGGAGGTTCTTGGGGGCTGGATAGGCGGAAGGTACGAAGGTATGCGCGAAGTGAAATAACTGGAATGCAGTTCTTCTTGCGCATGGAACTAATCGTTTTTGTGGCTCAACGAGATGCTGGTTGGATCGCTGTACCTGAAGACCTCGATTGCTGACGTTTACTTCGGCGACCTGAGTCCATTTGGTCATGTGGAAAGCGTCCGATGGAGATTGAAATGGAGTCACGTTCCAGCACGAGTGGTAGTGACTTACCCGTGGACTGTTCTTGGACCCTCGATCCGGCGCAGGGCTGATGTGTAAGGGTGCAGCCATAGCCGCAGCAACAACGGCGAAGTCGTGCATCTGTTTTTGTGCCGAAGGTTAACCTAGAATTGAGCGAGTGCCGTGCACAGACTCATAGCCATATATCCGGGACCCTCTAAGAGGGCTATCCTTCCAGCTGGTACTGGGATGGCAGTGTTTGTTGGGAACTTAGTCGAATCCGGCGACACTCAGGGTAACCCTAGCAATACTACTGCCATTTTGAGCAACATCGCAAACCTATTTGCCATACAGCAGCCCTCTCGCCGCATGAATCTGACTGTGAATTTCGGGCGAGTCTGGGGTACACCGGATGAGTCGGTATAGTCAGCGCCCTTCGTCGTTGAGTATCGGGATGATCCGTCTCACTGGCAGGGTCGCGGTGGCCGAATTGTGTCTCGTTTGCTGATCAAGCGATGATCTAAGACCGCTCTTTGTTCTCTTATCTTTCGAAAAAGAGGCTTGACTACTTTGCTACATAATTGCAGTCAGCTTCGAGGGTGAAATGCTATTCGCTGGGTAATGGTTAGTGGTGGGTGAAGGAGTTTTGTGATAGGACATCGTAGGCGAGAATGACCTTCCATCATCAGAGGAATGGCCACCGCTCTCAGCCTAGTAGAAGATGCTATGTGACCAGACGGCAACGTGAGAGGTTGGTGGTGTGTGATGGGTTCCCTAATTGATGTGCTCAGTAAGCACTCTTTGCGTGTTGAACATCATCAAACTGGTGATCGATAGTCCTAACCAACGTCTGAACAGTATTGAGCTAGATCTCTGCTACCAGTCAGTCGGAAAGGGTCTTTGCGAGACTGCACATTGCCGATGCCGTAGCATCCGAGGCTGTGCCGTAGCCGTGAGGTGATCCGATGTATCTGAATCTTACATGTCCAGCCTGCGCATACCGTACGCATCTAGCTAGTTGAAATCGAAGGCTCTTTGTTCTAGGGCAGAGGGTGCAGGCGCGACTGCAGTTTTGAAGGACGAGGACGTGCAGTGGTAAAGACTGCCGAATGAGATGAAAGTGGAGCTGCGGGGAAGATGACGGGCTGGCTTGGCACGTCCCACGTCGTGGTCTCGACGGCGTGCCTCCCAGATCGCAGACCTCTATTGGCACTATTTTTCTGCTATCGATTCTCTGGCCTCAGCTTTGTGGTCTGCAAACAGCCTGCACGCCACCATACAGGGTTCTATTCTCACGAAAGCCAGTACACAGCAGTTGTTACCAAAAGCAGCGATGGCTTACGGCGACCATGCTCTCCGCAAAGCTCGAGACAGTAGTAAGCTATATACCAGCCTACTTGAATGTAGGAAAGGATTGAGTTGTGTATTATCTTAATCCACTTCACGCTATTATTGACCATTCCTGTACCTCTTGTGCACACCCTGTGGAGCAGATTTACCACGCTACTGCCGTGCACAAAACTTCATTCGCCGGGAGACCGACTTACGAACCGACATAGTGGCTCAAGTTCATTTCTTGCATCTTTCCTTTCCTCTTGCGGACCCTGTACGACGTTGTGCGTAAGGGTTTCGTTGCGTTCGTAAGCGCGTTGTACACCAAATCTACGAAGCAATCTACATTCTTACAGGCGGAGAGTCCGTCCTCCTAGCTGGGAAGTCAATATTATTTGTCTCGATCACGTTATCCTGCGTTGTCAGTCGATCCGCTTCCAGATTCGAAGGTCTTTCATCCCGTTCATACCGGTTATCCTCCACACTCGACCACGGCCACCCTTGTTGGCCCTTATATCGACTATACTGGCTGTTTGCGCATGGCTCCTCGCCTAAACTGTGCATCTCGTCGGCGAAGTCGTTCGTCGTCATTGCAGGGCCGATACTGTGGCGCTCTCCGGGATATTTCACAAGTACTGCGGCGGTCGGCGGGATCAAATAACTACCAAACACGATTAGTCGCACTCGAGTGAATCTGGGAAACAGTATCACTCACACGCTAGCCACGCACCAGATTGTACCAACCTTGGCGCACAGTTCCTTCTTTGCGAAGCACAACACGCTGTCTCGACGACCTCGGGACTTCCTAACATGCCTACGCCACTATCTCCCCACAAAGACTTTGCGCTTGTCATCGCCACGAGAGCGGCGTCTGGACTTTCCGTCATAGGCTCAACAATCATTATCACTACTTTCGTGTGTTTTCCCTTCTTCAGAAAACGTACGTTGACTTGCTTCGATGCGTTACAAGAGCTGATGTCGCCTAGCAATCAACCGTCTGGTATTCTTCGCGACATTCGGGAATATCTTGACGAATATCGCGACTTTAATGTCGATTGCAGTCTTGCCAAAGGATTCCGAACCCCCGTCCGGTCTCTGCGAGTTCCAGGGTCTCATGATCCAATGGTTCTTGATCACAGATGCGCTCTTCTGTTTATCGATGGCTACGAATGTATTCCTGGTGTTTTTCTATGGATACGATGCCCAGCAACTTCGCCATTTGGAGAAGTGGTATGTCGCGTGTAGTTATGGGATCCCAGCTTTACCAGTCCTCGTCTACTTCATCTTGGGTAGAACGGGAAACGAGATTATTGGATCAGCAACTCTTTGGTGCTGGGTATCGTCTGACGTCGAGTGGATGCGGATCGCATTTTTCTACGCTCCTACCTGGTAAGTCCAGTCCTCGTCAAGCCACGCTCAACTAATCTCGCCAGGATTGTTATCACTACGACTATCAGCATTTACATAATCACTGGCTATCGGATCTGGAGGAAGAGGGCCGAGCTACGCTCCGTTTCACGAAGCTCGCATCATTATCTAGCCGGAAACTCCTTCACTGCTGCTCCGGAGATCACTGCCTCGCATCCTTTTGTGGGTACAAACAACATCGTGGTGACGACACAGATCAAATGCCACGTCCAGCCGGAGGACGCCATCTCACGCTGTGTCTCTCCCGAACCGGATCAAAGCTCCATCAATTCGTTTTCGAGCACGCGGTTGCTCTCCTCGCCCAGCAAACACAATGATACGGGGACGGAAACACTGCCAGTCGTGGATGCTGCCCGCACTTCCAGAATACAGATCGAGGATGTTGAAGCGCAGCGACATCCACACAATGGTACGAGAGGTCGAAATGGGTACAGGGCGACCGTCATTGCGACAAGCCCTGCAGAAACCTCGGCAACCCCGACCACATTGTTGACAACGCGTCCTGTCGCCAAGCGGACCGCAGAAGGTCATGCTGCAGCCATGGCATATTTCCAAGTCGCCTTCCTCATGTTCGTAGCCTTGCTTGTCGTCTGGCTACCCAGCAGCATCAACCGCATGTACCAGTTCACGCACAGAAACCGCTCGAGCTTCGCTCTCAACATCATATCCGCAATTGTACTTCCGCTTCAAGGAGCCTGGAACGCAACCATCTACATCTTCACCACCCGCGCCGAGTGCAGAAGAGCTTGGGGTACGGTCAAATCCAAGCTGACTGGCAGCCCGTTGCAACATCATCTGCGACGAGATGCCTACCGCAAGGAAACGATGACGAGCTCCCGCGACACGCAGGACTCTGGTACTGAGATCGCGCTAGATGATTTCCACAAGCACGACGTCCATGTACGTCACGCTGAGGTGTCGAATGGCCAAGCCACTGAAGAAGGCAAAGCTCAGCTTCATCCAGAGCCGTGGTGATGCGTCAATGTTTCTCCACGTCGTCGTACTACTGTGGCGTTTCAACAGTACTACGTGGCTCGCGTCAGCTCACCGTGTTTCGAGTCATCGTGCTCTGTCCTTTTGTATCATCATTTCTTATTTTATCAATGGCTCTCTATTCTTGGGTTGCGTTCAGCTTACTGTCATTCCGGGTGTTTCCAAGTTTCGGCGGATCATTCGTTTTTGAACTTGAGTTTTTAGTCAGTCGTTATCATGATACCCTAAGTTTTGTGTACGGCGTTATACTAGATCTGGGGCGATCTATTGGGCTCAGGGCACACAGAAGAGGGCGGTACAGCCTCGATGGCTCTGGGGAACTTGATCATACTTGTGTTGCAGTGAGAAGAACGAAGTATCTGCTCTGTTGAAGCCAATATCATTATATATTACGTGAGAGTAATCGAAAAATTCGTGAAATCACCGCCTCGCACTCGTCATTCCATGATAACATCGCCATCCTGCGCAAACTCATCCATACCCCTACTCCTTGGCACGAGGATACTCCTCAAAATACAAAGCTGACCGTTATCCGGACAGATCTTCTCCCTGTTCAACTGCTTATCCACAGGTCCAGTCGGTCCACCCGAGAACTTAGCCTGACCAAACAGCTTGACTTGTCTCGGATCACTCTCGGGGTACTCCTCATCGCCCCATCTGCCCTTGAAGTTCAACCACGCCGTCGGCGCCTGACCATCATAAGCCGAGAAAGCGGACTTTCCAGCGTCGAATTTGTAGAAGTTGGCCGATAGAAGGGGATCCCACATCACACCTCGGTCTGTGTAGTCTTCCAAGACGCCGCCGGGAAGGTTGAGGTTGGGGATGGTGTGGTCGTGGGTTCCGGAGATGGCGTAGTTGGCATGCGAGCCTTTGGATGAGTATGCGATGGGTCTGTCGCCGGTCTTCTCGACGGTGCCGTAGCGGAAGGCTTGCCCGTTTGCGTGCTGAGAGTACCAGATTGCCTCGGGAGAACCGTTTGCGAAACGTACCATGACGTGTTCCCAATCGCCTACATGATTGCCTTGTTGGACTGTTAGAACTGAACTGTTTCATGGTATGGATGGGAGAAGGCTGTACCAAAGTTCAATTTGCTCCATCCCAGTACCTCACCGCCGTAGTTGTAGGCGTAGAAGTACATGTAGAAAGCATCAACGTTGCCGTTGCCCTTGTCGTTCACAATGATGGCTGCTGTGGTCGCTCCTTCGGTCTTGCCCTGCGCGTTGGGTTTTGTGCCCTTGATCCATGTGGGATCTTTGGTCACGTCGTCGTTGGAAGTGAGCCAGACGTCGCTGCCCATCTGATCGAGGTTGGAAGTAGTTAGGGGCTTTGAAGGACCAGAAACTTCGTTGAACTCCACTCGCGGAGTCGTATGGTTCAGGAATGCTTGTATATCGGTGGGATAATAGGCATCCTGCGAGTGAAGGTAGACGATGGGCGCTAAAGGCAGGTTAGTCAAATTTGATGTACGATAACAGACAACAAAGCAAGAGCGAGTATCACTGCGTACCATATTTGAGTACATAATCGGGAACGCCATTTGGCGCCTGCCTTTCGTCGAGTGCGAGCGGCGCGCAGCTGACCAAGGATACGGCCATGGTAGCCAGCGCAACAAGTGGCCTGAAAGCCATCGTGTCGTCTTGAGATATATAACGAAGGCAGTAGTTGTGAATGGAATCTGTGTCGGTTTGCGCACAAGAGGAAACCAACTGCTGAATCACTGCTTCTCTTATACAAACGCCTACGCCCAGCTGACTACCGAGTCACCCCCTTCACAACCGCATCAGACGAACGGTTTACCCACCCATTCTCCTCCACCAAACCCCATGCGCTAGCGACATACCGTCTATGCATGGCAGACATACTCGTACTAATTCGCCTGTGTCCCCAAGCAATAATCAGCTGCCCACGCCAATAGTCGGGGAGGCCGGCACACGTGCGAACACATTTGATGGGTGACCAAAAGCAAGCGTTCGGTTCGGTTGGAATTGACAGCGGGTGTGGCTTGGATGATTGGTTCTCGAGCGCTAGGGCCCTGATAGCGAGCCGGATATGGCGATCCGCGCCAGAGGGATGTGCCGACATTGATAGGGTGAAGGCTAAAGTGATTCACGTCTGAAACATGGTGATGTTGAGTATGCACATGCGATAAGTTGCACTGGCAGAACTGATGCAGGGGCTGTGAGAGGGTCTTGGGTAAAATTGCCGGTCGCGCTTGGCAAAACCACGCAGGCGTAGGTGTTGTACAGTTCCGTCGAGCATATCCTACAGCCAGTTGCTAGAATACAAAGGTTCGCGCAAACTTGCGATCCATCTCCTCATACTCCTCCTTGAGCATTTTGCTTCTGAGCTTGTTGAGTCGGAGGATAACACCCTCTTCTTCACCCTCTAGGTTCTCCACGTCCTCATCCAGGGCCTTGGTGCCCTTGACCTTCCACACCAGCCCCTTCAGACCTCCGCTCTTCGCCTGATCCCGCTTCTCGCGGGCCTCAGCAGCCATGTAAGTCATGATCTTCCCCCACGATTCGAGACCGACCTCCTCGCACTTTTCGCACTTCTTGCGGAGGTCGTCGTTGGCGCGTATGGGTTCGAGCGATTGCGCGAGCTTGGAGGTAGAGACACCATCGCGCACCCATGAGAGGCCCTGTTGGCGTTGACTAGATGAGTTGCCGGCTGTTGCGAAAAGGATCTCGCCAATATAGTTCTTCAAGGCAGCTTCTTCGCAGCGATCGCTCTCTTTGCGGAGGAGTGGTTCGTCGCCTGAGGGTGGTACCTCTGGATAGTCGGGTTCACGCAGCAAGCTAAACAGAGTACCGATGAGAGTAGAGTCCTTTTGTGCATGAACCACAGGAATATGCGCCTCCTGGGCTTCGATACGAGCACGGAGCAGCGAGACGAAAATTGGGAGTGCAGACGAGACTCTTCGTTGTTCCGCTAGAAAAGTAGCCAGGTTTGTCGCCGCGTAGAGGATGTTTGGTGTTACTGCTTCCTTGGGTGCCGTAGACGACAGAATGGCACTGTCTCGGTCGATAACTGTCGAAGGCTCGGGCGTGGGTAGGCCTGCAATGGCAATGTCAAGTGCCCATCTATACATTTCCTCCGCCGAGTCGGGGAGCTTTCTGAAATTGAGCCAGTCGGCATAGCTCAACGCAGCTGACAGCCGTTGATATGTTGTAAACCCCTTAGAGGTGATAACCTTGAGGTAGAATGTCTCTGGTGCTTCCGCCGCGGGAAAGCGATGCTCCTCATCTGGTGGTTCGGGCATGCCGGGAAGAACAGCTTTCGGTCGTGGATTCGAGGGCGATTGAATGAATTCTGGCGCCCACACGTTTCTCCTCCACTTGTCCGTCACCCATCCATCTAACCTCTCTGCAGCATTGCCCATGCCCATCAAGACTTCGTAGTACCCTTGTCGCCACTCCTCGCTTTTGGTCGTCAGATCGAAGCCTGCCTTGCCTACGCCGGGCACCAAGATCCCTCCCTCTTCCTGGTCAGATAAACCCGCGCCATCCTTGTTCGGGTGTTCCAATCGATTCAGCGCATATTCCAGCTCTGAGTAGACCCGTGCCCAGTTGGGAAAACCCTCTTCCTCGTTATTTTCGGGCACCTGCCACCACTTTCCTCGCCGGAACCTGAATCGTGTAATCAGACTCCACTCATGCGGCGACGGAAACGCCCGCTCTTGCTGCTCGCTCAAAATGCCCAGACTTGCGATACTGACGCATGATGAGAGGAGAAAGATGAGGATGCTGTAGCGCACACTCAGTTTCGCCGTCTCTTTTATGAATTTCTTGTGGTTGGCGCTAATGGAGAACAGACGTTGCAGTTGGCCATTGGAGAGGTGTTGGCCCGAGGGATATAGGAATGGTAGCTGTGGCCGGGGCGAGCCCTGGTGCGCGACGAGGAATTGGCGGGGATGTTTGTTCGAGAACTGGCGTGGACATGGGCGGTCAGAGGTACGCGATGTCGGGGGCCTCAGCGAGCCGTGTGGGAGCTTTGCTCGGTGCGCCGGCGGCCGCATGATGCTTTGCGACTGCAATTCTGTCGCTTGAGGGGTGCTGCGATGCCGTAGTTCACGCGCCAAGACAATCTTGCGCGACCGCCCGGCAGAAAAAGTTCAGGATCTCCATTCTCGTTTCGCGACGCTCCTACAGATCTACACCATTTTTGCGCGTCCACCATGTCCAAATCTAAAATTGACACCCCCGAGAAGAAGCGCAAGCGCGACGCCGAGGCAGCAGAGGACGCGCCGAAGAAGTCCAAAAAATCCAAGAAGACAGACAATGTCCAAGATGCGCCTGCAGTCGAAGCGACCGAGGTGAAGAAGGAAAAGAAGGACAAGAAAGATAAGAAGGATAAGAAGTCTAAGAAGTCCAAGGACAATGTCGACACATCGGCCGTCGAAGACGCCTTAGAAGACGCAAAGAAGGAGAAGAAGGAAAAGAAATCGAAAAAGTCCAAGAAGTCCAAGGATGCGAATGTCTCTGAGGACGCGCAAGAAGCTGATCTTATCGATGAGATGAAGTCCTCGGAGAACTTCATCAGCGTCAACGATGACGAGCCAATGCCCGATGCCACCGAAGACGCGCCTGCGAAGAAGGAAAAGAAGTCCAAGAAAGAGAAGAAGGACAAGAAGTCGAAGAAGAGCAAAGACGCTGCCGCATCTGAGGACACACCTATGGAAGACGCAGCTGAGGAACAGAACGGCGTAGCTGAGGACACACCTGCAGAGACAAACGGCGCAGACTCTGACTCCAAGGCTGCTAAGAAGGAGAAGAAGAAAGACAAGAAGGAGAAGAAGGAGAAAAAAGAGAAGAAGGCAAAGAAGGCGGCAGAAGCGGAGACCAATGGCGAAACCTCTACTGAAGAGCCCAAAGCCGAGACCAACGGCGAAGCCCCTACTGAAGACGCAGATGTAGACGTTGAGGGTGGCGCCGAAGTCGAGGTAGAGGGAGAGGAAGCTCAAGCCGCAGTCGAGGCTAACA